GGTTTCACCATGTTGACCAGGATGGTCTCGATCTCTTGACCTCGTGATCCACCCGCCTTGGCCTCCCAAAGTGCTGGGATTACAGGCTTGAGCCACCGCGCCCGGCCTGTATATACATTCTTAGAGGACATAAGTTTCACTTGGCTAACTGCCTAGGAGTGGAATTGCTAGGTTGTACAGTAAGTCTATGTTCAATTTCATAAGAAATTGCCATACTTCTGAGATGTGAGAGTTCCCTTGACCCCTTCGTGGGACTTGCAACAGGGATGTGGCCTGCTTACTTGGCCACCACCTTGATCAAACTCCTTGTGGGAGTGGGAGCACACAGGCGAGTAGGTGCCAGGGCTGGGGTGAGTGCTCTTGGGCTCCACCCCAATGGCAGCGTCTAGGGATGTGTTACAATTTTTGCTCTTTTAGCAGTTGCCATCCACGGACAGCTAAGTGTTAACCCACTCAGTGGAAAGTCAAGGTGACAGCGTTTTACACCCTGTCTTCTTGGTACCCAGGTTCTTGTTCAGTGTCCAGGAAAAATCAGGTTGCATGAACCGTTTGAAAGCTAATGAATGCGGAGGATTTTATTAAAATGGTGGAAGTGGCTCTCAGTGGAAGGGGAGCGGGAAAGGGGATGTTGCAGAAAGAAGATGATCTTTCCCTCCTGACTGTCTCTGGCCAGGCTCCTCTCCAAAATCATGCCATCTGAAGTTAAGCCACATCTCTGACGCTCAGTTGCTTCTTCTCTTGATGTTCATCCACTTGTCTCTCTGCCAGCTGAGGCCTGGGGTTTGTATGGGCACAAGATAGGGGAGCTATACAGGCTAAAAAGTAATATTTAGGGAGGAAAACAGGGATAACTATTCCCATTTAGGGCTGCGGTCTCAAGGCTTGATGGTGGGACCTTTGTCGGGGAGCCACCCTCTTCTACCCAATAATTCCCTGCCTTATATCCTTATCACTTCTTTCCAAAAAGGCTGTCATTTTGCATTCTCATCAGCAATGGTTGAGACTTCCAGTTGCTCTGTGTACCTTGTCAGGACTTGATATTGTCAGGGTTTTATAGCCATCGTAATAAGTGTGTAAAAGTGTTCCATTATGGATTTACATTTCCCTAATGACTACAATGTTTAGCGTCTTTTAATATTCATCTGCATAGTTCCTTTGGTGAAATGTCTGTTAAAATATTTTGACGATTTTTTTATCAGATGTTTCTTTTCACATTTGAGAGTTGTTGATACCATATTTTCTATAGGTCTGTGGCTTGACTTTTTGTTTTAACCTCCTGACTTTTCTAAGAAGACAACATGATTTAATAAACGTAAATAGCTGCAGTAGAAAAACTCCCATGGCCCATCTGTAATTTCAGACCTGAAATTCCCCAGAGGTTTGAAGCTCTCATTGACGGGTAGTTGCTGGTTATGGCCAACAGCCAGGTTCATTCAGGCACTGACATGTTAGGACATTCTGCACATGTGTGCCTCTAACACTCCTCCCCCGGCCTCTTCCTCCCCCTGCAGAGACACCTTCTCCTTTCTGCTGTGCCTGCACGGGTGGCCAGAGCCACACAGCCCTTTCTTTAAGTCAGGAGTTGCCCTGTCAGAGCACAGGGCAAGAAGGAAGTGACAAAGGGACAGAGGGGGAGGCCCTGACAGGACTGCGAGAATGGGAAACTGTCTGCTGAGAGAAAGCAGGTAAGTCTAGACTCCCTATGGGAGAGCAGAGGAGATGGGACAGGCCAATGCAGCAAGGAAGACAAAAAGAAAGTTAGTTACAGCCAGCACACTAAGTTGGGGTAGAAAGTAGTTGGGAAAGGAAACTGCCAAGGCTTCAGTGCCTATTCTGTGCCAGATGCCGCGTTAAATTTCTCATAGGTTTTGCCCTCTCCCAAGAATCACAGTGAGAAGCTGATGGAGAATAGCTGAAAGGTAGAAAGACTTTACCAAGGACGGTTTGTATAATAGGTTACCATCTAAGAAATGAAACAACTTTCTGAAGGCCTGGGAAGGAGATGCTCTCCTGAGCTCTTAATGTTCCACAAGGAGATCAAAATCACCACCACCGTTCAGCCACTATTTTAACTTTGAAATAAATAGCAAGCTTCCTGCCACCTTGAGACTTCCTTTGGTGTGCACTCCCTGCAAGCAAGTAAGCAGAGGGCATCTAAATTAAACAGGCAGAGAACTTAGATTTACTTTTCTGGACCTCAGCTTCTTTATTTTAAGTAGAAATAATAATACAGTATCTACCTTAGAGGGTTCTAGTGTGTATGGTGCTAGCATAGTGCCTGACACAAAGCAGCGTTCAAAATTAGAAGATATTTTCTGTTTTCTTTTTTTGACCATCATCTTCCTTAATATCAAGGCAGCCATTGTAAAAAA